TCCCTTTTGCTCTTTTTAAGCAGCAAGTTCAGTTTTACTAACGTGCAGCTTATGCTAAGTGGAAGCTCCAGCTTGGAACTCGCAGCAATTAGACAAGTTGGACAATTTGTTTAAAGAAATGAAAAAGAAAAAGCCTTCAGTAAACAGAAGAGAGCTACAACGCCTGAAACTTCAGAAGACTCTCTGCATCAGAAAGCAAACCCTAGGAAGGCACAAGGTTAACGCTTTCAATACCACTCTCCTGCCAACATCTCCCGTTCTCCTTCCTCACCTCCTCACCCAGCCAATTCGGAGTCAGAATCTCTGGCGTCACGTCCCACTCCCGAGGCAGACGGTCCCCCTGTGTGCTGCCCTGCTCCAACAGCAAGTGGGAGAAGTTCGAGGAACTTACAGCTGCCATCAGGAAAGCAGCGAGGAGTGCGATGGCAGGAGAAACCACCCAGGCTCCCAGACAGCTACGGTTATCTCATCTTACACCGCAAAATGCTGGTCCTTGTCCATTACACGTGAACTGTGCCACGATGGCAAGGTATTTTTAATCTTTAAGCAAAACCAGTTCTCCAGTTCCGATCAAGTTGAGCGAGGTGCTGTTCTCCTCAGAACTTGTAACGCCCAGTGGAGTCCGTACCACTGAGGTGGCATTTCAGGGCAACCTGTGCGTCTGGGGAGGTTGATTTGGGGCAATCCTTTCGAAAGAAAAATTTAGCCTAAAATATCCACCCTGGAAAAAGGGTATGGTGCAAGACTGCGAGCAACTGCTCTGCCCACAAATCCATGCTTCTCTCCCCTAGAGCATCCAGGCACTGAATCCCCACTTCAAGTTGCAAACCCAGCCCCCAGATTGTCCTTTACACCCTCAAAAACACTGGAGAACTCCAGCTGAGCTGTCACCTAAGACGTGGGAGACGAGAATCGCCCGTCTCCAGTCTGAGCCAGGTACACGAATACAAGCCTTCTGTGCAGGTCGTTTCGGGGTGACGAGTATTCAGAGGCGGCAGAATGCTGCACCAAGACAGACAAGAGCACATCAAAGCTACAGATCATCTTCAGGAGCAGTCAAGTGAATTCCCTGCATGTTACTGGAGATCCTGAGGCAGCTTTTAGGTGGTTTCGGACACCGTTACAACCTCCAGCACCCACTGGGGTGAGGGGGCCAGGAGTGTTACTGGGTGGGATGAGGACTGGCGCAAGGCATCTGTCAGCACCTAAGTACCGCTAAGGACCTGCGCCTTCGAAGACAAGAAAATCTGTGGGTGACCTGCTAAACTGCTGCTACTGCAGGGAAATGTTAAAAACAAAGCTATGCCCAAACCCCATATACATTTTAGAAACTACAGAAACCTGTTTAGACTTCTCATTTTTGTAAGAAATCACTTTAAGATACCTTTAAACTAGTTATCAATTGCTACAGATGCCATAAATCTGCAATCACGAATGTCCTCGCTATTCCCTGCCAATGGTACTCTTCTCCCGACCCAGATTTTTTAAGGATCCGCTCAGCCTCAGGTACACCACGTGCTTTGATGAAGGGGGAAAGTACTTTCAGGCAGAAAAATTTAAGGACATGCTATAGCAGAAACCTACGTGGAATGAATTGTGCCATGGAAGGCTTGAAAAGTACTACTCCACGCAGAGTACGAGGAGCTAGTCTAACATGAAATTTGACCTGTACTCCTGTCTAAAAGAAAAGTGTTGTTAGAATTACAGTCGACTGCTCAGCACTTTTTCCACTGCTGTAATGTAAACACTTTGTTGTATGTCTGGGCTGAGTTTGCTGCGCTATGGCAAAGCCCACTGCCAAACGCATTCATCACTTTTATTGCTCTGGTTACTTAGGTTGCTTGTTATTTACTCTCACAAATGATTGAGGAAGAAGATGGCAGTATAGAAGGGCACTCTAAAACCTTAAACAGAAGGAGACAATTATTAACCTGGGACCAGATCAGGAGGAGATAGAGAAGTTCAGGCTGGCACTACCTGGTTCGCACGGACACAAGGACACTTGCCAGGCAGGGCCCCTTGCACGGCCATACTCATGCAGCCACTACGCTGCAGAGAGCTCACCACCCACTTCAAGCAGGAAAAGAGATGTCAAGGATGGTTTGGGAGGATTTCTTGTTTCAGACTTAGACATTCATGTTTGTTTTTGCATCTTCTGGCTGTTCCTCCTGAAGTTTTCTTTGTGGGTCCAGTTCCTCTTTGCTCAACTTGCAAGCTCTGGTTTGCTCTTTTCTTTCACGTAACCTCCCTTCTTTCCCTCTCTCACTTCAATATTCTCCCTCCCACAGCTCTGCCAAGTCTCACTGCTCTTAGATCAGCCTTCCCAGGGGTTTGACCCACCTGACAGACCTAGGACCCTCGTCCCATTATCTGCCAGAGCGACCAGCCCAATGCCTCGGCGTTCTTGCAAGGTACCACTTCTCCTCTTGCCCAAGGCCAAAAAGCAGTCATGCATATAACCTACATTTTCTATGCATGGATATCTATTATTCTTTTATAATTGCATTTGCACAAACTAGAAGAATTATGACAAACACTCCACAGTTTTCTCTGTAACAGTGTATATGCATTATTTGCGGGGTTTTTTGTATCTATTACATACCTAACTTCATTTGCTCTTTGGAAGTTGCCTGAATAAGTTTATCTACATCATACACACATTTTTAATGTCTTTCTTCAGAGCGAGAGACCAAGTAACTGGCACACACAGGTGGTACTGAATAATGGGAAAACTAATTGCCATCTTCATAAATCCACACTTTGGCTCCTACAGGTTGTATTTTGCAAAGCACTTTAACTACTCAATACCCTCACACTTCTGGACAGGGCATCTAAATCTAGCTGTAAATTCAAAATCTGGTGAGGGTGAACTCCACAGAAATAAGGCTAACCTCTTTGGGTTACCCAAAGGTTCCTTTGAATCGTGCAGATGATTTTCTAAAAATCAAATTTAAAGCATCAAATAAAAATCATATGAAGAAAGAAAATATCCATAAAAGGTAAACTATAGAATACTTACAATATATTCTCTAGGTCAGTAACCATAACTAGAGAAGAAGAAAGCAAGCTTCAGAAATTAGTTCAGAGGCTTGTGTTTTAAGCATCTAGAAGTCAGTGTGCTCCAGACTCATTTAGCTGTTTCTGACTACCCCACAAACAAATTTACCTATCATTAAGAAAATCTGTGCCACGCTGTATAGAGTACCAATACATATCACAAGCAAGCAATTTTATTTCTTAAAAAAAATAAAGTTCCTGAAGAACAACTAATGCTTATGACTCACTTCTTGCACTGCCTATAGGAAACGGCCAAGAGATAGCAGCTGGGCAGGAGTCCAGCAGGGTCTTCTGATACTCATCTGGGCTTGTGTATAAACATGTTCTCATTACAGTTTCCATTGTCCGCCCCAGCCCATTCCTTGGAAGTATTTGTTGTACTCATTCTTGTCTTATTTACCTTTCCATAATGACTTTTCAGTGCAGAGGCCATCTTTTATCCTTGTACATTGTTTGCAGACAGGAGCCCCATCCCTACCGGGTCCTTTAAGCAGTATGGTAATACAAATAACACATCTAAGAATAACTTTTCTGCTTCTCAAACGTACGTCACCTAAGGCCAGACAAAAGAAAACTGTGTATATCCTCCTTTCCTCCTCGGTCCCTAAAGGAATGCATCCTTTCTCAGCCGTAAAGTGAGCCTGGCAATTACTGTATGTGCATGCCCGTGTTCCTGTTTGGAGCTCTGTAATTGTTTTACAGCCCTGACTGTGATTATCCAGTACCCACCAGAAAATCCCAGTGCTTTGATCACAGGACTCCCTACCCAGGCTCTGCAAATAATTCATCAGAGAAGGGGGTTAAGCAGAAGGAGGATGAAGAGGAAACAAGAAACACAGCTGACACAAAGCTAAAAGGAAGGAAACAAAGATAAAAACGTGAAAAGAAAAGAATTAGGCTGAAAAGAAGAAAGGGAGGAAACAGAGCCCACAGAAAAGAGAAACGAGGTGAGGCAGAGTTTAAGGAAACGTGTTTTCCTATCAGGACTAAACAGAGGTGAGTCTCTTAGGAAAATATGGTAATTTTTATCTGGTGCTGCTCTCTGTCTGTCAGCCTCTCTTAGGGTCGTTAATTTGTTCCCTGTCCGACTGTTCTAACATTAATGGTGTACGAGATATCCCTTAGACAGTCCTCATGCGTTTGAGATGAAGGTAGTAAGATAGCAGAAGCAGGCAGAAACAGCTTGCTTATTTGGGCAATAAAAAGGCAGAGGGCTGGCAGTCAAACAGAGAACAGACAGGATGTAGCAAATTACAGGGTTCTCCTTCTAGCCTTTGCCATTAAGTGAGTGTTTTCTGCAATGCATAGATGCCCTGTGGGCACAGTGACTTCTAACAATCACCATGGCTTGTTTGCTTCCTGAGCTGGGGATTTAGCTTTTGTTCCATACCCTTCATCTGGCACAGCTTCTACCACACGCGAGAAAAGTATTAATCTTGCATAACGTGGGTACATCTGCAAAGTAATACTTGCAAATAGTCTGAAAACATGTTTCCCTCTGCCCTGCCCCTGGAGATGGTGTTCAGTTTTTCCTGTAACTGAAGAGGAGAGTAACCATTACACAGTTCAGGCTAATCTCTGCAAAACAGACTTGTATGTCACTCAGAAACGAGCGTACTGCTTTCTTGCTCATGTTTTAAGTAAGAATTGTCAGTATTAACGGATCTGTATACGAATCGGAGCCTTGTGATTTGCTGCTGTGGGAGCTGTCGTGGTCCAGAACAGCTGCAGCATCACCGAGACACGTTTTCGTCCACTACACTGTTTCATGCACAGTTTATTCATTCTTGTCACAACTGTTTTATCTCAAATGTTACTGCTCTTCCTATTTCTCTTTCATATTTCTGTTCTTTTTTAAGTCCCCGTTTTTCAGTTATTTAAAGGAGAAGCCCTAAAATAAAACTAGTATAAAAACAACCCAACCACCACTGCTTTTTCTAGGGTATAGGTCAGTGGTTGCACTTTCCAGTACTTCATGCAAAAACTTCAGAAAATTATTTAGAAGAACTATGCCAACATGCTATTTCTGCTCCCAAACGTCAATGAGTACAGAATATCATACTGAAGTCCAAGCTGTTCAATACAATTTCATCTGTCCCTGCTGTGGTTCACGTAAAGCAATACTCCTGTCCTCATACAGTATCACCGCATATTCCATACCAGCCAGCTCAAGGTTCAAAGTTAAAGATGTTTCACTCCCATAAACTGACAAATATTTTTCATGATGGAGACTAATCAAAAAGGGGTGTGGGGGGAATTGTTTCCCAGAACTTCACGCAGAGGGATGCAAGCCCTGCACGCGCTGACGGCTGTGCAGACGGGTCATGGGAACTCGGACCCAGGACAGAACGAGGACAGAACTTCTGCAAGGCTCTGCTTCTGCCTTCTTGAGGTGACCTCTGACTTGCAAAACTTTAACCACCACCTTCCACACATCACCTTTACCTGGAAAAGCACCCTGGGCACAGTCTCACTAAAGAAGAGGCAGTATCTCTAGCAGTTAAGCAGAAGGAATTCATTCTGGAACTGATGGGCAGAAGCCTTTTATTTAGTGTCTCTGAAAGGGACCCAAGAGATTATTTTGCTGGTAGTACCTCCTGCATTCTGTGGTTAATTTGTCTGAACAATAGAAAGCTAGTTAAAATGTGTAAAGCACAGCAGTCACTGTATGTAATCTCTCTTGACAGACAGGGACGCAAAAGGCTACATCCTTTGTAAAACCAGTAACTTGGCTGTGCTTGAGAAGGGAGTAAAATATGCACTCTGCTAAAATACCACAAAAATAAACGTGAAAAGTCCATTAAATGAGAAAGGTACAAATTGATTTTAGAGGCTTTCCTCCCTGCCCCTTCCGCAAGTAAGGGAAATAAGGTAGGTCTGCACTACTGCTTACCTTGTATCTTTTTTTACATCCAGGAACAGGACAGGCAAAAGGTTTCTCATCCCCTCCATTCATGCACATTGAACTAAGGATAGCTTCAGAGCTGATAGCACTTTCTGTAGTCCAGGACTCATCACTGTCTGATTCTTCATAGTCTACTTCCTCCTCATCATATTCACTACCTAGAAAAGCCGGGCAGTGAGATAAAACAAGAATAAATAAGAGCACAGCCTGATAACACGTTCTGCATTTATTACATCAGTTGCAATGACTTGTAATTTCCCTACTTTTGTCTTTGCTGGAAGACAGTTATTTTTAATTTCATAAACCTATCTTTCTTATAGTTATTTATTCCTTCATAAAGACACCAGTGGTTCTTTTTCTAATAACCAGGACAGGCATTATTAATATATCTTCATAAAGTGTTAACTGCATGGCACAGAAGGTTTAAATGACTGATTTTAAAATGCAGTTTCATTACTCCTCAAACACCAGGATCTTTCCTTCTCTCCTACTGCCCAAATAGAAAATGTGGTTTTTTCCTTCCCCTGCAATTAAAGCTGATTTTAAGGCTTTTCTTTATGCAATACAATACTGAAGAGCGTAATTCTACAGATCATAAACAGTGTAAAATAATATGTTGACAAGTCCTAATGCATTTACTAGCCCTTTGGAATTAATAGGAATTATAGCACAACATTAATAAGAATTATATTGTAGCAATTATGGTTGTGAAATTCATTCCCTCAGGTGTGGGGATAAATTGCATTGTGTGGCTGCCCTGAACAGACCGCATTATGTTCCAGATATGCTACGACAGCCATCTGAGCAGCTGTTCCTGAGTATATTTATTATTTTTAATTGCAATAACTATTAATGAAATTCTCTGAAGAAGTTAGATATGAAACAAGAGAAATTAGGAAAGCAGAATTCCAACTATAAAAATACAGCTAAAAAAAAAAAAAGGAAGGGAGGAAAGAGCCCCAGCTGATTAAAAAGAAAATATATGCACAGAGGGAGAGAGGGAAAGCTGAGGGAAAACTTCTGTGGTGTCAGCAGGAGGTGGTGCTGTGTTTCACCTCCCCTTTCTTCTTTCTCTTTCCCAGCTCTGCTAAATTTTATCCTTTGTGCTGAAAGATGATTTGGCTCCGAGTGCTGGAATAGCTCCCGTTATTAAAGACAGTGATGTGACACTTGCATGGCTCTGCTTGCTTCCCTCATATGCCCTTTCAGTGCACGCCCCTAAGCAGCTCTACCCACCGAGAAGAAAACGCAGACAGATGCCTCCCAGCACTTGAAAAAAGAAACATCCCGACTTCCCAGAGAAAACCCATGCTGCAACGGGGTCTTTGGGATGTTTTTTTTGCTTCTGGCGAAACTAAACATACACCTATGGTTTCCATCTTTTCCCTCTGGATTCCCCCTCCCCCAGGACTCTCACTCAGACTCGGCACCTCCCCATCGCTGAGTAAAATCACATGTCAACTGGTAGCTGCAAGCACTCAGGGCTCCGGGGCTTTAATCAGATACTGTAAGCCCGTTTACAGATGTCAGGCTATCCACGTTTCTTTCCTGTGGTTTCCATCTGCACAGGGTGGTGCGCAGATGAGGAAAGACGGACAGTTTCCCACCACCAACAACCGTCGACATGAGCGCACGCACACACGCTCTGCAGCACATCTGGAAACCTCTGCCCTGCTGACTGTGGCTCCTTCTCCCACACCGAACGAGCCAAAGCCAAAGAAAGCATTATTGACCTCTTAAAATATTTCTGAACTCTAGGAACAGTTAACCTGAAATGAAGTTAAGAGTTGTTATAGTTTAATTAACTAATAAAAAAATGGAGGCAAAACCACAACTCTGCTTCTACGATTTCCTGCCCCTGATTGTATCTTGATGGAAAAAAATCCTCAAGCTGTTCCTTTCAAACTTTTTAGCTCAGTGGGGATTTTTTTTAAGCAAATGCAACACAATACCCTATTGTAAATACACGTATGCACTCACAGGACGAGAAAATATACAATTCTAAATACTGACACCAACAATTTTTGCCATTACAATCACCCCTCTTGTAAGCCCCCTTAAGAGTGGGTGATTTCCCCCCAAATAATATTTTGTCCTCCCAAAGAAAACATCCTTCGAGACTGTACAACATCTACTAAGGATATCACTACTTTTGATGATAACAAGGAGTAAGCTTTTATAAAACAACAATCAGTGGCTTACAAAACTTAATATGCAATATGCTATATAAGGGAAAGGATACACAGAACAGGGGGGGAAAAGAAGCAATCATTGCAATTATGCATTTCCATAGGTTTTCCTGTACTTTCAGGGCACCCTTTTAATTTTTCTAGTAACTTTGTACAGTAAGACCCAGTTCTGTAACAACTTTGGCTACATTTCACTTATAGGTGGACACATTGAAAGAGAGAGGCGGAAAAAACCAAAATATGTGTGTAAGCATTGGTTTAAGACCATAAGACCATCCTTCTGGTTTTCTTTTAATTAGCTGACCTGAACCAAAATGCAAGATTTTGTCTAGCATAGTCAAGAGTTGTTTAAACAGTATAAGCAAATGCTCCCTTGTCTTAAGTTTTAAAATCCAGGCTTGTCACTATGAATTTTACAAGTATGGTGAGCTTTTGCAAGTATGAATAACCATATAAATATCTATTTCTTCTTGCACAAAGCAGTAGTGCTAACGGTGCCAAGTACCTGAAAGGCATACTACTTTATACAAAGCTGGAACTGCAGTCTATCACTGCTTTTATCTAACAGTGTCCTACTGAACTCAATTGCTTGTACTCTCTTCAAAAAAAAAAAAAACAAACCTAAAATCCCAAAATGTATTTAAGAGGTTCCTGGTATAAACAAAATGCACAAACCTTACTGTCTTGAAAAAAATTCATTAGCAATAAAAATTTATCCTTTAAATAATTGTTGTTTCAGTTGCTAGAGAAAAACAACACTGATTTAGTCAGGCTTTTAACTGATTCTGCCTCAGAATTTAATTTCCTCAGTTGTCAGTGTCTAAGAGCAGCAACCCATGCGGTGCCTCACTGATTGCGTGCAACACATCAGAGAGGAGGGCAGGAAAAAAAAAGGAGAAAAAAATGAAAAGCACAACACACGGGTGCCCCCTGCCATAATAAACAGCCCCTAGATGAGGTATTTTAATTAAGTACTGTAAGGCCCAGGCTTTGCGAAGCCATTCCCACGCTGAGCAGGAGTCCCTGGCCCTCGGCTCCACGTCAGGTGTACAAACTGCAAGCCAAGCCGCCGGCAGCTTGCCGGGGTACCGCCAGCACAGCAGTGCACTTTGATCAAGATATAGCTTGCTTGCTTTCTTTTTTTTAAAAGTTGGTTGGTGTTTCACAACAATAATTATAAATATTTACTTTTTATAAGGGAAAAAAAAAATTAAGCACCTTTGCATCTAACCTATGGCCTGTTCCAGGGTGTAACAACTGTGTGACTTGGCCAAGTGTCTGCAATAACTCTTCAGAGAGCTGCAAGAGAGCTGGCTCGCTGATCTCCGCTTGGACGCTGCCCTGCACATGGGAAACAGGACGCTCTGCTGGGGCATGCTGACCTTCTGGGGGACCGAGCAGCGCTGTTCCTGTAGCACGCGTGCTAATGCCCTTACCATTTCTCCTCATGCAGTACTCAAAGGAAAAATATCGGAATTAGGCTTCAGATGTCTGAATAGCAAAAAACTCCCCCAAAAGTCAACAACACACATTTCTTTAAGAGGAAGTGTCTAAATATCTGGAGGGGAAAGGGTGATAGAGAAGCACATGCCTTCAGCAAGGTGATGTACAAATACACATCATTATTACTGTAACTAAATACTAGTTCTACAATAGCAAGAAAACTGTCTTCACCTCTCTCCTCTGGCAATGCTTTTTCTGAGGCTCCTTCCTAGCTTGTTGCTTTTCACCATATCCAGTTTCATCATCTGGCTTTCATTCAGAGACCCTACATAGTTCTACCTCAGTCTAACCTAAAACCAATGTTTTATCGTCCAAATGACTCAGAAACATCTTCCTAATATTGCCCCCACCCTTGCATGCACTATTCCCTCAGTCCTGGCCCACAAAGCCATTTCTTCTCTCCTCACGCCAGTGGTCCTGTCAAAAGGCTCACTTCATCTGTGCTGCCCCCAGCATATTAAAAAATGAAACAAAACAAAAACAAAGGCAAGGAAAGAATGCTAGTTTCGGGGTTTTTTTCCTGGAATTTTCCATGCTGAGACAATGCCAGGGCTCCTCAAAGAGGAGGTGGACTCCACTGGTGGAGGGACTTGAAGTGGCCATGGACTTGAGGTGGACACCAGTAGGCACAGCTGGCATAGTATGCCATATCAGAGCCAGGTATTACATAAAACTGCGAGTTATGAGAAGACAGAAAACATACAGGGTCATAAAGTATTCCAGGAAGTTATTTCTCTTTTAATTTTTATGCCGTGTTTAAACACAAATCCATCACAACAGAGAAGGCTGTCTGCATCACAGCAGTTTATCTGTCAAAAATAAACACATGCACGAAAAGGGGTCATGACTACTGCCCGCGTGATGAGAAGTCTTTGTAGTGTGATGAGAAGTAAAGCTGCATCATAAAGACTTGCCCTACCTCTTCTTCCAGTCAGTTTTGTTACTGAAGTCAGCGAGAACATCACTTAATCCTACTGCAAAGATCTCACCTCTTGAATGCCCATCTACTGCAGATGAAGTCAGTAATTTAAATAGCTCAAACGTTTTGCAGAGACTTAATCATCTGACATTCTGGAACAGGCAACATCCCAGCTGCACTGCTGAAAATCTGAAGCCTTATCTTTTCTTTGTGGGGTTTATCTGGCATTCACACCACTGTAGCCAAGATAAATTCTGCCTTTTGAGTGAGCAAATTCATTCCACCACGAGATTTACAATAAATGGACCTTGGTTCTAGCAGGTGCACATCATTTGTAATTATTTCACTTTTTAGCTCTAAGGACTTCTGTACTGTGCCTTGAAATATAAAAAAGACAAAGCTGATTAAAACCAGCACAAGCTGTGTGTGCCATTACAAAGAATACGATCTATCTTGACCTCTGATCAAGAACATTACGAGTTCTTCCTTTCTCCTCCCATGAAAGAAAACAAACCCAGAACATCCTTGCCAATTATTTTTGTGACCA